TTTTACTTTCAACTACTGTTCAGGCTAGGGAGGTACAGATGTCTCTGAACTCTGCCTGAGGAAGTTAAGAGGAACAAGCTTTACCTCCAACATGAAGTCCCAGGTGTCCAAAGTGTGTCACTGGAGACTGTAAGACAGCAGCCCCACTACCTCTACGTGATAGGGCAAGGGAGGTCTCTGGGGGACAGGTCTACCTGTCTGAGGTGACAGGACACGTGGGTGACCCCTCCACCATGTGCCACTGCTTGTCAGTGGTGTCCTGCGGTGCCTCCTTCCCCTCCCTGCAGCAGTCTCGCTCTTACCAGCTCACTCGCTCCACAACACAGCCCTGCCAGCATAGAGCCTGCTTTTCACACAGCCTTCTACTTTTTCCTGAAATTATTTGATTTCAGAGACATGAGGCAATTTTCATGACAAGTATGTGCCACAGACTTGGAAGGGCTGGAAGCTCAGGACTTCCCACCTTACTGTAAGCAGCAGAAGGAGAAGAAAGAGCATGGGCCTCATGCTGGAAACAAGTCAGAGAGATCATCTCCTTTTGCTGCCACAACCTTCTCTGTGTGTCCCTGGCACTGACGCAGTGAGATGATCCACCATTTCCAAAGAACACGCAGGGGCCCAAAGATGACCTTTCTTTGGTAGAAACTACTGAGGAGCTGGAAAGCATTTGACCTGCAGCACTGTGGGAGCTTCCCCAGCTGCAGAGCTATGAAAGGGGAAGTCTCAACGAGCCTGCACGAGGAAAGGCGGTGCATGCTCCTGGGAAGCTGAGCCCAGGGGACTTTAAGACCTCGCCTGTTTGCTGCTGGTGTCCTTCCCAGTTGAGGCTAGGCATGTATTAAAGAAGCAGGTGCACACATGCACGCACACATCCACACACGCACGCATGCATGACATTAATGTGGCTGGCCACACAGACCAACCCAGAGAGAGCTGTGCCTTTACCAGCACCACGGAGACACCACCACGACTCCCATCAGCTGGCTCGCTCCTCTTTCTCCTCTCTGCAGCAACAGGCTCCGTAGATGCACAAGCACATTGCACTAACCGTCCCTCAGATATTATCATGGGCTCTAAGTCTGTTATCCATACCAAGACCTCAAGGCTCTTACCTAGCCACCAGCTCACACCTTGGGTCTTTCCAGATGTGTCTCCTCATGCTCTCTGGCTGGTTCAGTTTGAAGTTCCCCAGTGAATTACAAATACACAGACATGCACATATGGAGTGTTAGATTAATTAATTAGAGAAAAACACATACAAATTTAGGGCTTTCCAGTTGCTGGTACCCAGACCTACAGGCCCCTATGACCCATGCCCCCTTCCTGGGAAGCTCAGCTGAGCCTGTGCAGGGTCAGTCTGGTTACGAGGGAATGCATGTGTGAGGGCTTGCACAGATGATGTTTCTACCTCACCCTTGGGAAGCCACAGAAGAAGCCAGTACCAAGTGCTTTGCTCTTGTTGATGTTTAGGTGGTCAGTCAGTCCTCTCTCCTCAGCCTCCAGTAACTCCCTGACACTGCTGGGCTCCAGAGAGCTCCACATGTGCTGTACATGGCCATTGCTCCTGCATGGAAGTGGAGAGCATTCAAGCCAGGTCACATCACACCTCTCCTTTCTATGTGAGTTGATCACATAGGAGAGATCACTCCTTGGCTTTCTCCTCTGTCAGAATTGCTGCCACAACTGGGTGAAGGCAGGACTACCAGGGGGCTGGATCCTAAACACCCTTCTTGTTGCATCTCTCAGTAGCCTTTTCTGTATTCCCTAAAGACTCTCCAGGAGCTTGATATTAGGAGAAGACGCATCTGGAAAAGGGCAGCACAGCAGGGTAAACTCCGCCAAGTCTAAAATTAAACTTAAGAGGGCTTAAGAGATCAGTTATACAAGATACCCAAAAATAACTTAGAATAAATCCTAAGAGGAACAGTGAAAGCACTGCTGACATCTTCAGTTCTCGGTGAGATGCATGTCTGCATGTCGAAGTATGAATGCGGTCTATAAATACCACAAGTGGTTACCACTGAAAACAGAGGAGGGGTTTCCAGTGCTCCAGCAACAGGAACAACAAACAACGGAGGTGTTCTTCGTCAGGAACTGCTTGTGCAGTTCCTACCACAAACTTCAGCAGTAAGCCAGGCACAATCCACTGTTGGAAGTGAAGTGACCTCCTTCCAGGCTTTTCTCTGTCTCCAATCTACAGTCATTCTTTGTGCTATGGCTCCAAAAGGACTTTTTCTGGACACTCCACCATTTTCTCTCCATATTATTTAAACTGGAGGCCTCAGCCACAGCCAGCTCTCCTGGGAGAGATGTTGTTCTGGGCAAGTTGATTTGAGGGAGGACAAGGATGCACATTCCTCCAAAAAGCCTGTGATCTCACTCTCTGTGTCCTGTCTGCAGACAAGGCACCTGCAGCCAAACACCATGGTACCATCGGCTTCGTCAGCACCCATGTGTGTCAGAAAGGCTTTGTACCTTGATGGGTATCTGAAAGGCACCGTGTATCTCCCAGAACAACCTCTGCAGTTTCTCTAGTAGCCAATGCCATTCCCCTTTGGCTGTCTTGGGATAATGTGCTAGAGAGTCAGGTATTTGTTAAAGGTTTCCAGTAATATGGCTTCAGATTCACTGCAACCAAGGGTGAGAGATGGCTTGGTACTAGCCAGTCAGCTCGAAGTCAGGTTAAAATAAAACTGATAAAAGCAATAGCTTGCATCTGAAAAACAAACCCACAAAACCAAACCTGAACCATAGATCCATATGGCTAGAATGAAAAATCCTGCTTAATCGGCTTATATCAAGTCCAAATCTAAAGGTCATGCTCCTTATACTCCCTTGAATTTATGTCAGTGCATTCCTGACACACCTCATGCCCTAAAACTCAGAGGCTCTGGATGCGCATGATTCCTACTTACAGCACAGTATCTTTCATGGTCCACCTATTTCTCTGAATTTCCTTGTCAGGGGCGTAAACTACACCACGTGTGAAAAGAAGTTGAGGGAGCTGGGCTTGTTCATGTCCCTACAAAATAGAGGAAGGATGACTACAAAGATGAGAGAGCAGCTAGAGAAGTTCAGGTTGGGCATAGGGAAATGCTTCTGCAGAAGGGTGGTGCAGGCCTGGGACCAGAGCAGGGGACAATCTCCATCCTTGGAGTCACTAAAGAATGGGTATCGATCATCATCCTTGAAGTATTTCATGATTTGGCTGGGCCAAGTCACAGCTGATCTGATCAGGTGTTAGCGATAGTCCTGCCCTGAACAGGAGGCTGGACAAGAGACCTGCAGGGTCCCATCAACACAACAGTTCTGGGATGCTGTGATTTCTGTGATCCACCAGGTAGCTTTCGGTCTGTCTATCCCAAAACTTAATAACTTACTCGTCTAACATTCCTGGTGCTTAGATACAGACTGCCCTATCTACCTCTTCTGAAATAGAGATGGTGCTTGGTAAGTCAGGTGTCCCTTCCTTATCTTGACTGTCCTCTTGATAGTGCCTGGATTCACAGAGTAGAATTCCTTCCCTGTGCCATGGAGATACTGAAACGTTCATTTCAATGTCAAGTGAGCCTTTCATAGCAACATATACAGAGACAAACAGACTACAGGCTGTGTACATACCACTTTTTAACATATTTAGCATAGGTTTAAAACTGCAAGAAATAAATAAATGGGGTAATAATAGTATTATAATAATAGATTGCTGTTTCAGCACAGCTATCATTTGAATGCTTATGTTTATCTCAATCCCAACAAAGACACCAGAAAGATTAGCATTTTATATTGGTTTGTACATATAATTCATTAAAACTCAGAAAAATTACACACTGACTTCAACATCACTCCAGCATTTCACTGTTTATTCTTTTTTAATGGCTTGGCTTTCCTAAATAAGTCTTTTCAATTAAAATTGAGCAAAACTAATAAAAAACCTCCTCCTGAAGCTGTCTTTGCATCAATTGAAGTCTTAAGGGGCAAAATGGATTCTTCTCCATTACCTCTGGCACGCATGTGGGGCTTGGATTCCTCTAGGCAGACAGGCTGTTGGTCGCCTCAGAACATACCAGGTTGAAGGAAACACATACAATTGGTGTATGGATGCGCCTGGAGCAGAGGAATTATTTTACAATCTCTTTGATGGCCTGAAAAAGTAAAAAGAAAAAAGAAAGGTCAATACATCCACCTTAAGATACATTTCCTGCTCAGAAGCTATAGGCTTCTCAAGAATGCCTGCAAAAATGGAGGTGGAGTCAGAATCAGGGAATGGTCACGGGTGGAAGGCACCTTCAGAGATCATCTAGTCCAACCCCCCTGCCAAAGCAGGTTCACCTACAGCAGGTTGGACAGGAATGCATCCAGGCGGGTTTTGAATATCTCCAGTCCTAAAGAGAGAAAATTTAATTCACAATGGCAAACTGATGCAGTGGCCACAAAGCCGAGGGAGTGGCACAGGGCTGGGTGACAGTCATGGCAAGGCATCTGCCTGCTTTTTTAACAATTTTTTAAAAATTCCATACAATTGCTTAGCTTGCTTTGTGCTTCAGGTTTTGTCTGTCCTAGTCACACGTGTCATATCTATCTATGGAGACATCTGTGCCCACGGCAATGCTTCCTGGCACTGGGAGGGTCGGTCAGACCATGGTGGGGCACAGGTACTGTCCTGACAAAACTGCTGGTGAAATAGGCCTGTGCCCTCCAAATGCTACTCCATCTGGAGTTGACACAACAGGGACCCAACCGTCAGAGAGAACATTGTTCTTCACCAACTGTATTTCATACTCCTGATCAAGGGACGGTAATCCTAAGGGAGAGTGCAGCCTTGTGAGCATAGCATCTTTGGTCCAGGCTGGAGGCATGGGTAAATGTCTGCTCTGTGTGGGACAACCTACTAGTCCTGTGGAGTCTCAGGTGGGAGCGATGGCAGAAACACCAGTCAGAAAGAGGAGGTAGAGCAAAACCAATCAACTTCTGTCTCCTAAAACGATCCTTTTCTTTTAAAGGTGAAAAATGTCGAAGTTTTATTGACCTTGCCCCGGCTTCTGAAAAAGGTAAGACAATACAGTCAAGGTTTTTTCCTATTTTACAAATTGCATCAGTATTGTTTCTTGTCATACTTCAGTGCCAGGGGAGACATTACTACCTAAGCACATAAGGATCTACATGCCATCCAGATTGCATACAGCCAGGTGGAACAAATGCCAAGGGTTTAAGACACCTGTTTACTCAGGTTATGCAGATCTGTCATTTCTCTGATGCATTTTCTCTTCATTCAGCTGATTTTTTTTTCTAAGAAAATAAAGATTTATATTGTAATACAGACATTTCCCTTCTTCCTCTAGTGAGGAAGGACATGCTATGTGGTTTCCTCAGGCCGTGAAGACATTTATGGTCAGAAAACCACAGTCACAGTACCAAATGTCTCTTTGTGAGAGGGAATCCTGTAGATGCTTGTTTGTTTCATTTACCCTCGGAAAAAAAAAAAAGTATTATTCAAGTGCACAGAAAGAGACAGGCTGCAAGGCTTTTTTTTACCCTGGTATTGGAGTTGTAAATTCTCAATAGCAATTTAACCCACATTTCAAAATAATATTTATCAGGAAAAAAATGGGGAGAGTTCAATTAACAAACAGGGCAGCTCGGCCCATCCCGCCCCCTGCTCACAACAGAGCGCTCTGCCACAGCTGAAGAGGTGCACGAGCCTCACGGTGTCCCTCACACTAACAACGGGCTCGGATGATGAACATTCATGTGTGTACGAAGAAGCAGTGTGTTTTGTTAGATCACTTGAGACAACCGCAAAACCTTTGGGGCATACAGTACCTTCATCAGGTCCGACAGAGAGGCAGTAAGTGGTGTAAGAACAATTGTTCTGCATCTGTCTGAATTGCTGGTCGGCTGGACAAACTGAAAGAGAAGGGCAATTGCCATTAATAAAGCAGTGGGGTATTTCAGTGAGAGAAACAGTAAGAGAGACAGTCCCCATGAAATTCATCATAAGTAAACCTAAATAAATTATGCACATAAGGGAAGAACAGTCCTGGGATTACTGCCACTAATGGGCTCTGAGCTGAATGTACACACACAAATGGGACCTTGGGGCATAGCTGTTCTTTTGAAAACACTAGGTCAGTACTCAGTAGTGGTCAAAACCCAAACTAATCTGTTAGAAAGCATTAGGAAAGGACTTGAGAACAGAGCAGAGAGTATCCTGTTGCATGAGGACTGCACACATCTGAATCTTCACCTTCATATAAAATATAGTGTGGTATTTTGTCCTTTTTAGTCCAGCTCACAGAACCACAGCAAGGACAATCAGAGTTCTGGAAGGTTCTGTACAAGGACGAGACTAAGACTCTTCAGCTCAAAGGAGTGACATATGAGAGGAGATATGATGGACATTGCCATAGACGTAAGAGGAACTGAAAAGGCAGCCTGGGGAGTTGTAGTTCACTGCCTTTCCCAGTACAAGGACTACTGGGCATTGCACGACACCTTCAGGAGACAGACTCAAAAGAAGCATGATGTGTCTGTTATAAAGGCAGTAGGATGTTTTTGTGCTTTATCCATTTTCTCTGCAAGTTCATTATGGTGCATAATGCTTGGTTGCATCACCCACACACTTCCAAAACAGGATTTAGTGCTTTACTTAAGTATTTCTTCTGGTTGTGTGAAACGCTGTCAGCAATTTTTTCTTTTAATTGAATTTTACATGCTACACGATGTCAGTGTATATTTCTAGACCATTCTATTTCTCCTTTTTGAGGAAGGAAGGCTCTTTTGGTGTAGTGGTATAAAGAAACTTACAACTTTTTCTGAAGTCTTGCCATGGAGTTGTAAGGCATATTGACAGAAAGAGAGGGGAATGCACAGTCAGAGACAGAAAGTGCTGACCATCTGAGTCATAAACAACTGTAAATCAAGTTGGACACTGCAACACAATTAATCTGAATTTTTCACTATCAGTCTTGTACTGTCCCGAGTTACTTTCATCACATATAACGAGAAAATTGTGTGTCAACGATGCTCAACGTACTTTGGCTGCATAATTCAACTTCTTGACTTCTTTTATTCTCTTTCCCAGTTAGAAAGAGCTTCCTCCTCCTTTAGCATCTTCATCCCCTCACTCGGCATTGACTTTAATGAGCATAGGCTTGTCAGCTACTTAGTTACACCCAGTGCTGGGACAGATCCTTGATTCTTCTTCCAAGTAAATGAGATATGATAAAATGCATTGAATATAAAAAGTGGAGCTCAGTTATACAAATACATTGTGGTTTTCACAGTACATTGTGTAACTGGGAATTTTTGGACTACACTTACCTGCACAATGAGACTTGAGCTTATTCATTCTATGCATATTCTTAGCATCACTTAACACTAAAACGTGGTTGTTCAAAGTTTTGATTATCTAAAATGTCTCCATGTGTACATGCGCTGTTACTGCAACTGACCACTCAGGCTTTCTAAATTTTTCTTTTCAGTTGATTTTCCCTGATCCAAAGAAGACCTCTATCTAACCAACTTCTAAGCTAAATACAGGCCGTTGAAACCTGTGCCTACTTCTGGGCACATCATCTTCAGCTTTCAAGGCGTGCTAAAAGGAAGCCTAAGAACAAACTTAGTCTAGCTGTGTAGCCAGTCTCTTCTAGAGTCCCTCACCAATTAACAGCAAGTCAGTATAAAATCTCTGCATTATATTTAAAACCTTCATGGCATAGGAAAGCCAATCACTGAAACATTCACTGTAAAATAAAAATATCTACGGTGAGGCCAAGCTACATCCTTACCACAAATCTTGGATTCATAAATGAAGATGTTTCTTATTCTTACTGTAAAAATGTAATAGCTTATGCTTGAGCTTTCTATCTTTCATCCACTTGTGCTGATCTCAAATGTAACTGGATACCATGTTTCTGATCAGTTATTATACCCTTTGCACATATTGCACCAATGACATCTACTAAAAGGAGGCAGCAAAATTTGGGGCAAACAGACCCACAGTATGGTATAAATAAGCATTTCCAACCCACACTAGAAGAGCTCTTCCCTGTGTTTAAGGCAGCTGCCAACAATCTGTCAGAACCTTGTAAGCCTAACATTGAATTTATTAGCTATTGCTGGTTGTTAGTGCCAAATCTGCTTAACAAAATCAGCTTGGTGATGGTAGGTAATAACTAGGAAAAAAAATAATTGTCTCTGTCCACAAATATTTCTTATGACAGTTTCCATTCACTATCGATAAAGGATGATAGGGCAATAGCTAGTTACGTTGGCCAGGAGTTTTAACGGGCTCTCACAGAGCAGATGTTGTTGGGTTCCATGGAGCGTGCTATTTTCTAATTTTCATTAGAGATGTGAGTAGTAAGATAGCAACTATTTCCAAAAGGAGTTGGAAGGAAACTGCTACAATAGGCTGGGTCTTATCTTTCAGTTCTGAATTGCTCCTGAGATCTT